TTAAGCATTAGTCACCAGTTAAGAGTGAGAATTTTTCTTCAACAAGTTAGGACTTGTATGTTTGGGGTGGAAAACAATTAAAAGAACTTGTTTGGTTAAACTTGAAGCTCAAGGAAGTCAAATAGATTAGACTGAGTGAACGCTACTCATGGTTGGGATGCATGTGTCGTTCACGCATTGGCTTTCAGTCATCGGACAATTGTAGGCTTTTGTCAATCGAGCTGATTGGAATTGAGGGTTTTGGACCCGAGGTTAGCGTGTGATACAATTTCATAGAAGTACAAGTTCGAGAGAAGCAGTTGCTGAAAGAACTTGTAGCGGAAAGATAACATTTTCTAGTGGAGTTTCTTAGTGCGGCTTCGGGATTTTTCCGATCGAGGTCTTACGAGGCTGTTAGTGGTAGTTGTATTGTTCACCTTCAATTGGTGGTCGTGATCTAAGATGGCAGTAGATAGGCTGGGTTACAATTTGTGAGTTTTGTTTTCTCTTCTTGATGTGTTTGGGATTGTTTAAGTATAGAGTCTTGATAGATATGACACCAAGTAAGTTAGGACATATTAGGATTAAATTGTCAAATTAGTATTTTGTGAATAGAAACCTATACATCACAGCTAGAATTTCTTAGAAATATCATTTAAGAAGTCTTGAACATCACACTTAAAGGTTTAATTATGTCACACAACGAGAAAATTGAGAAACTCTCAATTTATTACATAACTTAAGTATGTCTCAGAACATGAAATTGTAAAGATATTTATAGTACTCCCTAAATAACCCGTACTAAATAGAATTAAAGTAGGAAATACTATTAGTAATAAATCTAGGAAATAATAATACTAATACAAATAAGAAAATTAATTTTTTTTAAAAAAAAAAAACAAATAAGAAAAGTAAATACTAATAAGAGTAGTATTATCTTAACTTTGTTTGAAATTTTGTACAAGTTCAGTTTTTATCATCTTGGTTTGTAATTTCCTTATTCTCCTAGCCAAAGTAGGTGTGGAATTTCAAATCAATGTCATAAAAATAGTTCATTTGTTCCAAAATAGCCAAAGAATGGGCCAACTATATTTTTTATTTTCTTAGGCTTGTTTCTTGCTTTTCAATTCCCATCATCTTAATACTTTTGATAGTGCAAATTTTCACTTTGCACGAGTGCACTTTTCATCTAAAATTTGTGCATGCGGAGTGGTGGTACTTGATTAAGCTTTTTAGGTTTCATTTCAGGTAAGTTTTGGTGGAGCTTTTGAAGGGAACTAATTTGTGGTAAAATATAATCAATCATTTATCATGTCTAATCAGATTCTGCAATCAGATCACATTTCTGGTAGAAGAACCGGGAAACCTGTGTATCCTTACCAATCAGCTTGGATGTCTCATTGGGTGCCCGCAAGTTCAACCAAGGCTCATGGTCATTTGTCACCTAATTATGAGTTCAAAGAAGATACAGGTGATGCTAAAACGCATAATTTACTAGGCGGACTTCGGATGGAGACTAGTGATATTATACTTTCGAAGGAATTTAAAGAAGTATCAGAAGCAAAAAGAGTTGATGTCATTAATGAAACACCGAAGATGGTACCAGGAGAATTAGATATCCAATCCTTTAATGCATCCAATATACGATATCAAGACTGTAATATAGATTCATCGAATAACCAAGACACCATGTGTTGTGGGAAAACTCAAAAATCTCAAATTGATCTTAATCATGTATATAACCCGCTGACACTAAGTAGAAGTGAGAGTCAATTACCCTTGAGGCCTGGACAGGATCATTCTGAAATGGATTCTTTGCTTAGAGGAAATTATTTTCATTCGGAAGGTAAATCATGCAAACCAGAGATGGAAACTTCTTACTTTCCTGAAATGAGCTTATTAGCTACCTCAACATCTTTTCAGAATGATAAAGGACCAAGTTCTAAAATTGTGCCATATGGATTTATGGGTGAAGGGGTTCCAATGGAGTCTTTGATGGTCAGGCAAGAAAAAAGTAATCGATCTGCCCCCATGTTTGCATCCAAAGAAGATTTCGTGGATAAGTGCCAGTCTACCTTTTTCATTCACGGAAAGAGATCAGGAAGCCCATTAGACCATAAAAGATCAAGAGCGTCATTTTTAAGTCAAAATGATAAACCTGCGCTATTGAATGATTGTCCGCCTAGTGACTGTCAGCTTCCAGTTTCTGCTAGTAAATGTGAGAAGATGCAGAATAATCCTGGCAGTAGCTTGTGTCTGAATCATTGCCTTCCTTCAACAATGGTGACAGGAACGGAAAAGCTATATCCTGGATGTTATTCACTACCAACAATAGCCTCTTCTGCAGATGTAAAGACTATGAGAATATGCACCACCTTTGATTCTGTGCGAGAGTTTTCCAGGGGGCTTCCCAACTTTTCTCAAACAGCACGCCATTTACTGATCACAGAGGAGACTGATGTAAACACGTCTGAAAAAGGCCAACTTTTCAGAGAGTCAACGGTTTCCCTAAAATTGAAAGGGAAAATGTTTACTGAATTTCTCAATTCTCCTCCTGATTTTGGTCTTCATTGTCAGCATGCTGTGAAGTTGCAACCTATCCGGAGCTCTACAGAAAATGAAGGGAAGGAATGCATTGGAGATATTAAGACTCCTACAGTTTGTATAAAGAATGAATCATCGGCTGAAACTGATACTATGGACATGGATGCTTTTAATAATAATTCTGGTACACCTGTGAGGTATCCTATCCATTTAGGTAATAATATATAGAGGGGAAAACTTTGCACAATGTTATATTAAGAAACTCATTTAAAGTTACAACACTTTGTGAACTACAAAAATCTAATATATATATATGTTTTACTGCAGGTGGGGTCTCATCGTCACTAAATAAGGTGACTCTTGCTATTCTTACTTCATTTTTTTCCTGAACTGTTCTGTTTGAAGTATGTTTTGAATCACTGGTTATTGTAAACTCTAGGCTTGGTTGGTTCGGAAACTTGCTTCTTTTCCTGGAGAGGTTGGTTTTGATAGCATGTGTTTCGTTCGTAATAGCTGATAACACTAGGTGGTTTGGGAGGGTTTACAGCTGTAGGGGCCCATGGCAACAAGGAAGACCTGCTGACTTTGGGCTCCTCTAAATCGGCTGAAGACTAGGATTTATTCGCATAGGATTCTTCACTTAGGAAGAATATTTGGCTTGTAACAAAGATATGTTTTAATTTTTATCAAATTACAAGTTGGAGGAGTTTGATTAATAGGGATTTAATTCTAATTAGCTTCCTTTATAAATATATTGTCATGATCGATAAGAAGCATAAGCTATTCTAATCCAAAATTTAGAGTTTACTCTACTAAAGATTGGAGGTTCACTTGGATGAGCTTCAGTTTGAGCATGTAAGGACAAAATTCAAAGAAGCAAGTGGCCGACTTAGTTTGTGATTTAACGGTTCTGGCCCCCTGATCAGATCCCAAACACGGGATCATGACAATGTTTTATATTTTGAATTATTTTAATGCGAGCTATAAGATTTCAGTTAGTCAGACCATAATGCATATTCTTTGTCAAGAATAGTTTGTTGTGTATCTCATTGAATAATACGTCCTTATATATACAAGTTATAGGGATAAAAAAAGGAAAGTTACAATTAATCACAAAATGATATTTTAGTTTAATACCCTTTAATCTAATTTTGTCCTAATTATACTTAAAAGGATATTCTTTGACATCCTTCGCAGTCTCCAGAAAGTGATTTGGGTGGGTATTGGTTCTTTTATTTATTAGTTTTGCCATCTTCAGAAGTGGTCTAGTTTTTTTTTTTTTTGGGTTCCAAACTTTTCTAATTCCTTATTCTAATGTTTTAAACTGATCTTCACTAAGATTATCAATTTCATCTTGCGATTTTGGATAAAATTGGCCATCTGATCTTAGTTGCTAGTTTTTGTGAATTTGTTAGGATACTAAAGGTGGGAAAAATCCATCAACATCCTTGGCTGCTATTGCTTCAGCTAGAGAAGATGCTGGTAGTGGAGTACCGAATACTGAACTAACCACCTCAAGCCAAGAGCTTCTTGCTATCCCAGGTAGGGAAAGCTCTGCAGATGACAAGGAGACAAGCACCTCAAGAACTCAGAGTTTGGATGTGGAACACCTCCTTTCCAATGCTGAGCAGCCCACAAATAACAAACCTGGTTCATCTCTACATGGTTGTGTAGAAGACGAGCTAGGCAGCAGATGGGTCAAACGTCTGAGGAGAAGTGTTTCAGATTCTTTTGGTCACGGTACTAAGATCTTAAAAATGGGACAAACTTGTTCAGTTGGAAAACTTCAGAAGGACCCTAGCAAAAGTTGGAACCACAATGTAATAAATTCAGAACCTAAACAGGCTGAATATGCCAAAGCAGATGTGTTAGATCAGCCTGCAACCTTTTTGAAGGACAGTGAGGCCTGTTTACCAGGTGGGAAAGAAAAGAACGAAGAGATAACATTTTCTCATCCCTGGATTAGGAGGTGGTGTCATAAAAAAGCTGTGTCCCCTGAAGAGAAGTCTGAAGGAGTTTGTGAGCCACAAAGTTCAAAGGAAATTTTGGGTGAATTTGAAAAGAAGCAGTTTCCAAGCATTGCTGCCATGGCTCTGGTCGGCAAGGCCATGAATGGTCTTAGCCCATGTGAAATTAGGAAAAGTGGCTCTGTAATAATTTGGAATACCAAAGGGTTTTAGACAATTGAAATTGATGGTAAGTTTGAGCTTAAGCAGTTGATCGGACAGCAGCTGGTTGTCTCGGTGATCGACAACAGGAACTCGAGAAGAGATGTCTGGCAGTCCACCCCAATCAAGTCAGTTGCAGGATGTGGGCGTTTTGTACCCAAATTTTTTGCTTTGGTGTGTACTTGCTTTTCTTTTGTTCGTAGCTCTTCTCTCATCCTGCTCCCCCAAATATATCAACAATATGTATAGGGTATTTGAGAAGTATTGGGATTGCTTATTTTTGAAATGGGCTTGTTTGAGTGCATGATGTCCTGAGTTGATTTCAAGTAGGTAGAATTCCCTCGCCCCACTTTGAGTTAGTAAATTACAAGACAAGTTACTAAATTACCAAAGCCTCGGCCCTCCCTCTCCATCTATCCAAAAGGCCTTTGGTGTACCCCTCTAATCAAGAATTAGAGCCTCACGATCACTAGTCAATATGTATTATTTCTTGTATGTCTTTCTTCGTTCATGGTTCGATAATTTAGTGTACTAGGCGTAGAGGAACTACACACCAATTCATACGATGCCATCCTTTCAATTTGATAGAATCCGTTACTTGAACGAAACTAGATTTTGCAGAACTGTATTAAATAGTTGACGATACATTTCGTACTTTGTTAAAAAAAATCGATCTTTATTTATCAACTACACATTGTTTGATCAAATTCAATTCTTTCTCAATTTTTTTCTCAAAAAATTCGATTCGTGCATATTCTTCCACCCCCAAACTAAAGAAGAGATTTTGGTGGAATTATCACATAAACGCGATTTGTTATTAAATTAGTTTTTAAAATCTAACTCTTGTTATACTTAATTAATTAATTTTAATTAAAAACGACTAATAAAGTTAATAAATAATGATTATATTATATATATATATATATATTTATTATTATTAACTACTAATTTAATTTAATTAATTAAAATGAATTTTAATTGAATAAACAATGGAGAGAAATATTTTTTTCTTGGTAGGCACAAAATAAATAAGAGCCGGCGGGGCCGGCAACCCAAATACTTTAAGTAGACTTTAAGAGAAGATAAAATCCATTTGGTGTATTCTTACAACCACATTCACTTACTTCCAAAGAATAGAGAGATAGAAACTTCATGGAAGAAGAAGTGGGCAATTTTTAAAATAAATTAATTTTATTTTTTTTATCGTGTTATTAACATTTAAGTGAAAAACCCTAAAATTTATGATGATTTATAAAATATATTTTTTTTGTTAAATTTCAAAATTCATTAAACCATTCGAACTGAATCGATAGAAATCAAATATAATTAAAATCGATTAAACTGTTCAAATCGAATATATGAAAATAAAGAAAATAACTTAACTGTTTAGCTGACTAAGAATTGAATAACCAATTTTTAATTAAAATTAATTTATTTTTTAATAAAATTATAATATTTATATATATATATATACAAATACGTTTTTATAAAAATTAATGTTTTACTTTTCTTTCTTTGATGACCTATTTTGATTATAATAATTAATTACAGAATTGATTGTTCAGACTTTCTAATTTGTAGATGTAAATATGAAACTTATATACGAAGATATTCTCGAAATTTATAAAATGAAAAAAAAAAGTGAATTAGACAAGAAAAAAATAATTTAAACAAAAAAAATTTAAACATATATTTTTTATTAATAATCTCGTACTTTATCAATATATGAAATTTAATTATATAAAATTATGAGAAAAAAATAAAAATTATTTTTTATTTTTTTTGATTCACAACTCAATCGATAAATCTTAATTATTCGGTTCGATTTTAGCTTTGTTACGTTGATTACTCGGTTTAGTCAGTTCAATTAATTATTCAACTTCGCTCGAATAATTCAATTTTAAAATTATTTTGACCAAAACGACGACGTATACTTTCAGGCCGTAGTACAAAGGCGGGATTTATTTGTTTGGTTTGGCTGAATGTCTTATCCTTGTTTGTTCCCCTGCAAATAGCAGAAAGGTACTGTAATTATTTTTTTATGATAATGGCGGATCGAAGGAAACCCCCTTTCAAAGTGAGTGGTTGGTAGTAATGCTAATTAACTGCGTGATCATTGCAATTTATATTACTCTCGTGATTCTCATTTCTTTCCTTCACTCTCTCTTTCTCTCTCTCTTCATCTTCATCTTCATCTTCTTCTGTGACCGCATTTTCACCTCAGATCTCCCTTCTTCTACTCCCGTTCTTTGCACCTCCCGCTCTACCTCAACCTCCATCGATCCGCCTCCCAGCCTGCTTTCCTTTCACTTACCGTAAATTCCAAATCTTAAAATGTCCTCTATTTTGTTTTACTCCCTAGGGTTTCTGTTTAACTTCTGGTTAAGAAATGTCAAATGTTGTTAATTTAAAAAAGAAAACCCACCAAGCATATACGATAGAGACATCATTATACATCTATGTAGTGATTTGTCTTGATGCCATTTGTTTGTCAGTTCAGACTCTCTCCCCTCTTGGATTAGTGCGAAGTATCTGAGTTTATTTAATAATGTCCTTTCGTTTTGCAGCTGGGTTTGTGGTGCCGGCTATGGATTTTCAGGTACATTTTACCAAGTAGATGATTGACTTTTTCATTTCATGTTGCAGCTCCTTTACGTTTCTGATTATTAATACTTGTGTCTGTTGGGGTTGGTGTTTTAACAGCTTTTGGCTTTATGCAGAGTTCTTATTCTATCACTTGAACGTATCTGAGAGTTTGAAAGAGAGACGGCATATGGAGCAACCTATTCTATAATCTGTTAGGGAGATTTGGGTGAGATGACAATGGACGTGCATCAATCAGTGGGACAAAGTGCAAGAGCAAGTAGGTCTTCTTTTAGCTCAATTAGTCGAAATGAGGAAACTTCCTTGCATAGCTCTATGCAAATTTCAAATGGGGATGATTATGATAGCGATGGTTCCAACTTTGCACCTAAGTAAGTCCCGTCGAACTGATAAGCTTCTTCTATTCTCTCACTTTTTCTTCTGTGTTCTTCTTTGTAAAAAAAAAAAAATCTTTGTTACATCAAACCGCCAATCGTATTGCAAATAATTGCTACCTATATTTGGGTTGTTCCATAAATGGACTGAATTCGGATTCGTCTGAAAAAATTTTCAAGTTCTTTTTTTTTTTTTTGATTAAAAAAAATCTAAAATGCATTTTATTCTCATCAGACAACTATTAATGTTAATTATTTTCCCTGTGTATAAATGTGTCTGAACATACTGTTTGTTGTTCTGTTCCGTGTCGTCACAGTACACCAGCAACACTTTCAATGTCTATTCCTGAAGAACTTGCTGCTGCAATACCTTTGATTGATAGATTCCAGGTGGGGAAGTCCATCTTCTATCCCTCAATGTTATATGCTAAAAGAAAAGGGAGTCTGTACTGTAAGTTTTATCTTTTTTTTTTTTTTTTTAATGTTGTTTTTGTGCATAGGTTGAAGGGTTTTTAAGAATGATGCAGAAACAAATTCAATCTGCTGGAAAACGTGGCTTCTTTTCTAAAAAATCAGTTGGCCTTCAAGTTCGGGAAAGATTCACATTTGAGGATATGTTGTGCTTCCAAAAGGTATTTGTAAGCTTTCTCTAATAGAAATATAATCTTCTATTAAATTAGATTCAAGGTTATCTAAATTAAAAGTTTTTACAGGACCCAATTCCAACTTCATTGCTTAAAATTAATAACGACCTGGTAAGTCGGGCAACAAAATTGTTTCACATAATTTTGAAATATATGGGAGTTGATACATCAGAGCGAGGAACACCAGCAAGCTTAGATGAAAGGATTGAACTTGTTGGAAAGTTATACAAGCACACTTTGAAGCGTGCAGAACTCCGAGATGAACTTTTTGTGCAGATTTCCAAACAAACAAGAAACAACCCTGATAGGTACTGCATATGTCCCTTTTATGAAAGATTGAAGTTCTATTTCAAGATATCAGTTTCATTGTTTTTTATTTTCATTTGGCATCTGATCAGTTGTGCTGAAGTTACAATTATTTCTTCTTCTCCTTTTTGCTTTTTGTTTTCATTTTTATTTTGCCTTTCAGGCAATACCTGATCAAAGCATGGGAGTTAATGTATTTATGTGCATCATCAATGCCTCCGAGCAAGGAAATTGGCGGATATTTATCCGAGTATGTTCATAATGTAGCTCATGGTGCTACCACTGATTCTGAGGTTCAAATCCTTGCATTAACTACATTAAATGCTTTGAAGCGTTCTGTCAAAGCTGGTCCAAGGCATACTATGCCAGGACGTGAGGAGATTGAAGCTCTTTTGACAGGTCGAAAGCTTACAACAATAGTATTTTTCTTAGATGAAACATTTGAAGAAATTACATATGACATGGCAACAACCGTCTCCGATGCTGTTGAGGTACTGGGCTTCTGGACTTCATGTCCTGTTGC